CACGTGGTGCATCTTCAAGGCCCTCTGTGTTGAGCAAGATCCATGCTTCTACCTTTTAACTGCTGCCTAATACTCCATCCTATGGTCACTGCTGTGTCCTTCAGGCTGGGGTCATATGCACCTCCTGGTCATTGTGGCGAGAGCTGCAGGCATATCTGTGTGCACACACTCTGTGGGGACGCTTGCCTGCAGGCCTCTGTGTGTGCTGGCTAGTGGGACTGCAGGGCCTCCGGTAGTGCTGTCACGTCCAGTCCTTCCTGCTGTTGCTCCTTTGCTCTCCTCGCATCTTGTCCAGCGGGCCCAGGGACTGACCTCTCTAAGTTTCTTCTTCATCTTCTTTTTCAAGCTTCTCCTTCTCCTCCAGTTTCCATTCCACAACTCTGACCTGGTTTTCTGTAGTAGCAAATCCAGCAGCCAGGGCGGCCCAGCTTCTCACCTCCATTCCCAACTCCAGCGCTGCTGCAGCTGACTGCAGGCGACCCTTGAAGGAACATGGCTTAGTCTGAATCTGAGAGACGGACAAGGTTCTAAAATCTTCTCTAGTTCACACAGGAATCCCTGCCTTTGACTATGAGGTTGTGAGGTTTTCCAACTTATTTCTCATGGGGAAATCGCCATCTGTCTCTGGGTCTTGCCAGGAGCCGGCCTCGAGGTGCACTGGGGTCCCCGGGGACCTGTGCAGATGGAGACCTGCTGGCTCGGACAGGCTCGCGGCCACCAGCGGCTCCTCCCACTGCCTGTGTTAGGAGATGGTCCTAATCCCATGCCCAGGTCCCCGCCCACACTCAGGTCCTGTGGATCACAAAGGCACAGCTAAGATGACTTATCTCCCCTGCGTTGGCACCTCCACAAACACTCCTCTGTGGTTCCGGTGCCAGCTAATGCGGGTTTCCATGGGAACCTGGGAGCGGGAGGCCGTCCGAGGTACTGCCAACACTCCTCCATCTTCCTATAGCAACCCTGCTGTCTTTGGTCCCTACAGGTTGCTGAAACAGACCTTGGTGGCTTCCCAGCATGTCCCGTCAGTCTTTTGTCTGCGGGGCAGGACGCTGGTTCTGAATTGGGCTCACAGCCTGCACAAGTGGTTTCCCAAGTCCTTCTGCAGTCGGGTGTAGAAAGGTGGTCACATTCTGACCAATGAGGAATAAGAGAAAACGGGGGTCAGCAGGAAGGTCATTTAGGAAGAGTTGTCCCCATAAAGACCTTTCTAGTCACTTTTCTTTGGCCTGCAATGCAGATGCGATGACTGGTGCCCTCACGGCCGTCTTATCTATGAGGATGTCAGCCATGCCTTAGCACATCAGGTGCCTGGGACCCTAAGGGTACCTGGGATCCACTTTACCAGCCCTGGCCCGCCTGTGTTGTGGCTTCTTTTATGTGAAAGAGAAATTTCTATCTTATTTATGCCATTCTTATTGGGTTTTTAAAAAAATTAAACAAATGATCCTAAATGATCTTGACAAATATAGTTTGAGGCTTGTTTAGCATGGCTAGTCATCCTAACATTATATAGTCAAGATTTCAATCCTATCTGGCCAGATCTGAAATACCGTTTAAATATCAATTACTTTTTATTTACGACAGCTCATTCTATTACTTAAAACACATTTGTTTTAAAACAAAGCACATTACCTACAGTAAATGGAAAGTCAGTACTGCCTGGAATAGGCAGATGACGATTAGAGAGAGAGATTAAACTGTAGCTGTTCAGTCCTCCTGTCTGCAAGCTATCTGCAAGGAACGGAGGCTTTGGAGACATATGGTACTCTGGGGGAGATGGATTTCCTCCACTCCACAGCCTTGCTAGGGACTGAGCATAAGCTTCTGTCACTTTTCAGGTCTGTGTGCCACCTGACGTCACCCAAGATCTGCTGTGGGTGAGCCTGGGAGACACTTGTGTTTAAGACCATGCAAAACCCGGATGCCTCGTGACCTATCACCTGAGCAGAGGCAGGGTCAGGATGAGCAAGAGTCTGAGAGGCACCATGGGATTTGAGGGACAGAGTATAATGATTATCTGCTTCTTTTCCAGAATGGGAGCCAGTGCTGCTTAGTCAAGACAGATCTGAGCGCTGCGATAACATTCACATCAGTCCTGTTAGGATGAGAGGCCCACAGCCCGCGTCTTCAAACAGGGAAGGTATGTTGCAGTGCAGATAAGAATCTGCAGAACTTGTCACTTCCATTAAAGTGTCTCCTTAATCCACAAAATTACACCTGCCACAGGGACTTAACTTCATTAACGCGACTCCCTGATCCGCAGTGGATTATCACAATACAGAGCTTCCTGTGCATCCCAGTGACCACGCTGCCACTAAGAAGAACAGCAAAGCAGGCAGGAAAGTTAAAGGACCTAGAGAGCCAAGCAGTTCCCGGGGCCAAGCAGTTCCTGCAGTTAAAACAGTCCCTGGATGATGCGCTTCCCAGCGTAAAGAGTGTCTCCTCCCTGCCCTTGGCCCCTGGCTGTCATGGTGCAAGGCTTCCCTCATGGAATTATCTATAGCTGAGAAGTTCCAAGTGAGGACAACCGGTGAACGTATCAATCAATGTATTCAAAGTCTCCATTTTCATCCTGTATGTTTTATGAAATAGCAAAATCCTCAGGCAGCCCCATGGCTTCCTGCAGACAGTCATTACCCACCAGCCTTCCCCAGCTTCCGGCTTGCTCCTCAGGAGGGGCAGCCTATTGCGCGTCCCTTTCAGGACACTGTCTGCTCACAACAGAGCCCGGATAGAGTCTTAATGCATGTGCTCTAGACACCTTCCTATTTCAAACAGGTAGATTAGAGGCCGTTCAGTACAGGTGTGCACAGATGTTATCCCACTGCACACACTAACAGAGACATGGTCTCCCTCCAACACTTCTTCAACGAACATTTATAGACAGCCCTTTGTGTACCCAACATGCCATAAGGCTTGGCACCCAGCTGCAAACCAGCCTTGATTCCTAAACCCAAAGAGCTTCCAGCTTAGATTTCCCTCATCAAGCAATGCCTGCTGGATGTAATGCAATGTGTCCCTCAGCAAGTATGTCATGTGACTTACATGTCACATACAACATGTGCATGTAGGAGCATGTTTAGATGGATGTGGCCATATCTATGTGCACACATGATACCTTTTCTGAGTACATACACAGAAGGCACTACACATACAATCATACGTGTGTGTACAAACTTGCTTTTTCTATTTCCTGCTCTGAGGTCAAGTTTCCAATCCTGGCATTGGAAATGGTGAGGGATGAAGAAGTTTCCCTAGGCAGATGGTACAGGGATACCAAGCCTCTGGAGGCACCTGAATGTCCCACCAGGGCCTTGTCTCTCAGAGAAGACACTGACTCGGATGAAAGAAGAGCCAGAGACAGCAAATCCATGTGCATTTAGAAGATGAGAATCTGGAAATCCACAGAAAAGCAGTTTCACCTCCATTGTAGCTGCCACCCTCCACCCTCAGAGGGTTCTAGTCTTCCCCTCTGTGCCCGAGAGAGATTCAATTATAATCAAAAAGTCAAGTTTAAAAAATGCTTAGTAATGGTTCAAATCCTTTCACAACTTATAGAAAACATTACAAATGCTAATTCTAATAACTCAAGACAGTAGATGGCAAAAAGAGATCACAATAAAAAATAAAAGAGCATGGATTGAGACCCTTTCCCCCAAACTTACCTTCCTCTTCTGGTAAAGAACAAATTATCCATCCATTATCCATCCATCCATCCATCCATCTATCCATTCATCTATCAATCTACCCATTTTTTCATCCATCTATCCATATGTCCTAATTTTTGCAGCTGCTCAACACAAAGAAGACCTTCTGCAGAGAGAGTACCTCGTGTCCCACGGCAAGCTGCGGGCACTAACCATGCACATGTGTGGGGTCATCCAACCCACCCATGTAGCCACTATAACTGCATAAACACCAGGAAGGAACTCAAAACTCAAATACACACTTCCTCTTTCTCCTCTCATTGGCTCCACAAGTGAATCTTCAGGGGGAAAGAAACATCTTCAAATACTGGCCACAAGAGGAAGAGGACAAGCTATCGCTGCAGACGACCCAGATTCTCAGCTCCCACATTGAGCAAAGGGCACAAGAGGGAATTCAAATCGAATCACCCCCGAATTGGGTTCCAATGCTCCTTGGTAATGAACCACGGAAAAAAAAGTAATAACTATCAACCGAGATTCATTACCTCTGTATTATAATAAATAATGGGAAATGAATACATTTTCCAAACATGGAGCTATGAAGTTTAAAACTTCATTCCAGAAATAATGGCCTACATACCCAGATTCCTCCTTTCATTATTGTTCAGATTTTCAGCAATATGAAAAGCAAAAAAGAAACCTAAAAGTGACAAAAATGTGACCAGACTAGGAATTCTCCAGAGCCGCAATGAGATTCTAGGAAAGTGGAATAAATCAGAAATTACCGAGTCTCCAAGTCTCTCTCTGCCCAGCTGTGAACTGATTGTTTCTAATTTGGTGGGTATCAGAGACAGATTCGGGTTTTAATTTCTCCCCAGAGTGATTCACAATTCCCTGTAATTCCACAGCCAATAGTTCCCTGATCCATCAGAATATGCCTGCACACAAACACCATCACACTGGGCAATGTGGGAGGCTCCCCGTGCACAGGGAGGATTGCACTCCGGCCTTTGACACTTGCAAAATGGGCCATGTTGCAAGATGCCCAGACTCTAGGCTCACCTAATGCTGTGAGCTAGCAGGAGGTCATGGGGAAGTGCAGCCTGGTCTGCAGATCACTCCACCTGCGTGGAGTAGTCCTCACAGGTGCCAGAGCTGTGCTGTGGTTTGACAGGTCCACTGTGAATTAGAGAGCATTGTTCCCAGCTGAAGGAATCCGTCCGTCCTGCTGCAGGCACTAATAACAACCCACCGAACACAGCCGCCATGCAGACAGCACTCAGCGATTGTGGGGAAAGGCCGCCATCACCACCACAGTAGATGGACACAGGTTGAAGCCCAGGTGTGACTCACCTGTTTTCTGAGCCGCCAGACTTCTTCTGACAGATGATGACAGCTGGTGCGTACCTCCCCGTGTACTCTGCGCTCTCCTGGACATCCCAGATGGAAGGGCTGCTGGCTCGCACGCCCACGATGTTCACACCCTTCTTCACCTTTGCCCTGTTGAAGACAGGAAGCCATGTCTGAGACGCTCTGGGGTCCTGGATCCTGCTGATGGGAGCAGGCCATGAGCTCATTCACACGCTGCCACCTTGAAGGTCGGAGCTCAGGAACAGTAGCAGTTAAATACGAGTTTGCCACCGCCTCCTGCCCCCCTGTTCTTCCCAGGTACCCCTAACTTTAATAAAGGAGCTGTGGTAGTACACTGGCCTAGATCAAACCAGACACAGAGGGAAACAGAGGATCTTCCTGCTGCTTTATGCCTTTAATTAAAACACCATGGGCGCGTGCACACACATGCACACACACATGCCTGCCTGAAAACCTTTACATTGGGAAAACTAAGTGGAAACAGGAAATGAGCTAAGCATGCAAAAGTACAGGTTCTAATAAGGATACACCTTCCCTGAGAGCCCCCCCCCTGCCGTGTACCAGCGAGTGAGGAAGGAACACTTCTCCTTCAACTAATTTCCCCCAACAGCGCTCAGGTTCACAATAGGATGCTAAAGCTGAGACAGGAGGGAACACAGGTGGCCCTAGGCACCTGTGGGCACCGATCTTATCTGCACAGGTCTGCTGGGCTTCTCAGGTTCTGCTCTTTCTAGGTCCTCATCACCGCTGCCATCGAGGTCCCCATAATCGCCCTGTCTACCACGTCATCTCACTCATAGTTATGGAGGGCTTACCACACCCTGGATGCACAGCTAAGTTCACCACGAGCTTTTTTCCTTCCGTCTCACAAATGCACTCTACAGTCAGGAACAGTTTAATTTTTGCCAAGCAGAGGGGAACCCATGGCCAGGTGCAGGATCTGACCTGCAGGCACCTGCTGCCTGCTGCCTCCCAGTGAGCTTACCAGAGCAGGGCTAGTGGACCCCACTCCATTCATGCCGTCTGCTACACAACCTTGGTCAGTGTGGTCATGCCATCCGATGTCTAGGCACACCTCAGTCAAGTGCAAACTTCCTAGAGCCCCCTGACAGTGCACATTGGCCATGTCCCCCTCTGACCAGGGAGGGTAGGCGATGTGCCCACAAGTATTCCTCCAAGGCACTGGGGACTCTGTTCCCTGGAGGAAGGAGAAGAAGGGAGCCCAGAGCTGGTGGCCTCAAATGTTCCTAATCTTCCCTAAGAAACCTCAAAGGAAAGTGCGCATGCGACAGTAGCATATGGAGACAGGATACCACAGTCATCTGCTGCCGGATTCCTAAGCTGCCTCTGCGCTTGAAGAAACCGTGATTCCCACGTGTCTTCTCTTTCTTGTCCCTTGTGGAAAACAAAGATTTTGGAAGCCTGGTCACTGAGGTGACCAGTAGGAGGCAGCCCAAGGTGGACTGGCCCCCATGCTCTAGGTTTCCAGACAGCAGGGCGTGAACCTTGAACCCTGGCTGTTACCATAAGAGGAGGCAAGTGAGGCCCCTGCTCCTGGGGAGGGGGGACTGGCAAGGCTGAAAGAAGGTGACACTCCCAGGATTGGAGCTTGCAGAAAAATTGAGACATGACTGCCCCCAACTAAGGACACTTTCAGGAAAGGCTCCCTACAGCAGACCTGAGGCAGCCCCCTCCTCACAGCAGGGCTGGCACCTGGGAGCTAGGGTCCAGGAAGTCCCTCCAGGGCCTCCTTGGTAATGGTGAAGGCTCTGGGCTCAGATGTGCAGACAGTGGAGCCCGCGCTGACCAGTCCCCAGTGTGGCCTTGATTCCCAGGCTCCGGGCACATGGGCCACCAGTCCCCAGTGGGGCCCTGACTCCAGGCTCAGGGTGTATAGATGAATGGTCCCCAGTGGGGCCCTGACTCCCAGGCTCAAGTGAGCTTCCTGAGGGGACAGCCCTCAGTGTTGTCACTGCAGGACATTCTGTGACAGCAGCTGGAGAGGATGCTGGGTGCTGGCTGCAGGTCTCCCTGCACTCAGTTCTGTGACTTGTCCCCCTGCAAATTATTCTTTGCATCCCCTCGTGGTAATAATTCTTCGCAGTGAGTGTGACTCGATGTTGGGTCCTGTGAGCCTAACAACTTGTTGACCTTGGCGGTGATGTGGGGTCTCAAGCACATGCACTGATTTGCCCCTGAGTCATGATGCCTGATTTGCTGAAACTCAGTCAGATTGTTGGCAACGAAGACTTGCTAGTTAAAAAAAAAAATTCAATTCACGGGGACAGTGACTATTACAACAAGATGAATTCTAAGGGCTTTTCCAATTACTGTGCCCTGGAACTTTATTGAATCACATTTGCTTGAAACAAATAGGTTACTGGCCAGATTTTTGGCAAGCATTTTGTTACATGGGAGATATCAATACATGGGACTTTCCTGACATATAATGGGTTTACATTTTTTCTTAAATTTTATTTCTACAGTAGGTCATTTGGGGTTAGGATAAAGTTTCTCCAATGAAAGGTTTTCAAGTTCTTGAGATGAGACAGGCTGCTTATTTAACCTGGACAGTACCAACATTTGTGGCTATTACTATGTTGTAGCTACCTGGAGCTCTCCTGGAGGGTAGTGTCTCTAAGAGCCAATTCTTTCTGAGATTTAGAGCAGGATGTGGGAATTGCCATTCATAAGTACGGGACATCATCCTAAAAAAAGGCATGTTGCCAGGGCGTGCTTTGGGTGACCTGGCGAAGGCTGGTTTCCGGAGAGGGGTCCGTGCACCACGGGTAGTTATTGATCATGAACTACGCCAGCTACTGAAACTCACTCCTCAGGGAACCAGCCCCAGTGCTCACCAAGCACGGCTTCGTGGTGTTAATAATTTTGAAACACTTATCTCAGAGCCGCAAGTGGCAGTGTTTGGAACGTTACAGCAGTTCTTAGAGCTCATGCGGATTGGCTCCACTGGGTCTGAACCAAATGCTAATTTCTTCTTTGTTTATGACAACTGAGTTACTTACAGTCATTAATGGAAGTTTTATAACCTACTTGTGGTTCAATAAATACAGGTTACATTGACAGCCTCATTACACAGAGATAAACATAGTACTTGATTTCCGAAGACGCTTTGCTGCAGATTTATATTTAATAATATATCTACCATGGTGATGGGGGGAAGGCCATAATTTTCCCCAAAGCTCTCACATGCAGCGTGGATTGCCACAGCACACCCTGCTTGGGTTGGGGGGATGCCATGTTTATAAAGCACAATGAAGCTCCACTCTATGTGCAGAATACATATGAGCTCAAGCATATATTAAGTATGATATTGATATTATGGACATAGTGTGCATACAACATACACACACTATCCCAAGTAGCCAGGCATATGATTGACACAGTCAGGAACAGCTGGGAACCTGGATATAGAAGGGATTGCATGATTGGTACTTTTGCCCCTGCCCGACCCACCCCTCCCATTCCAGGTAGCAGTAGCCTATTACATGTTTTGCCCTCGGTCAACCTGGACCCCGATGATGAAATTGCCATTCCAGGGGCTTCAAGCCTTCACCCTGGGCAAGAGGTGGACAGGTGACCCAAGCCAGCCCAACCAAAAGCTGTCTCCCTGGAATTTGATCATAAGAAAGAGACGCAGCAGAAGAGAAAGGAGCAGGAAATCCATCCGGCACTGTGGCCCGTGACGCCCCTGTGCTCCACCTCCCTCTCTCTCTCTGGTCCCCTAGGATTGACACATGCAAGTGTTTCTGAACCTGGCTTGTCCACTGTCCTTTAGCCAATGAGATGCTTTCCACCCTCCCTCCTTACATGAGCCAGGCCTGACTCTTTCCATTTGCCATTCTATGACAAGCGGAGGCTCAGCTGCTGTGACAGTGCTCCCAAGGTTTGCTCACTTCAGAAGCGAGGAATGGGATCTTGTCCTCTGTGGAAAGGCATGCCTGGGATTTCAGGTCAGTGGGCCGCTCTGCTCCACTCAGTCGCTCAGGGATCAAGGGGTCAGGTGGCTATGTTAGTCACCCCCTGCATCATTATAACCAAAATCCCTGACAAAAGCAACTGAGAGGAGGAAAAGTCTACTTTGAGCTCATGATTTCAGAGGTTCAGTCCATGGTCAGCCAACCCCCTTGCTCGGGGCCCAAAGTGAGGCAGAGCACCATGGTGGAAGGGCCGGGGGGAGAGAGGCTGCTCAGGTCCCGGCTGGTGGGAGATGAGAAATTCACTTCCTGTGGAGCTGGAAGCATGGTGGACCATGTGGGCACAGCCAGTGAGTCCACCTTGAGATCACCTGTGTGGGAGGCTGCTCTTGGCTAAGCAGAGATTAGTTGGCTATGCTGCCCTTAAGCAATGACCCCTACCCCCACATATTTCAAGGGAATTTGAAGAAGGAAGGTAAGAAGAGATCCCAAGTGTCTCCAGTTCCAGGAGGAAAGGCTGCCTGTGAGCTTCTCCCCAGAGATGCCAATGGGCACCTTTTTCCCAGGGCCTGGTCTTCAGTAGACCACACCAGTCACTCCCCTCACGTCTGACCTACATGCCATAGGAGAATTTTGTTTTGTTTTGTTTTAGTGAGCTTTTCCATCACTATGACCAAAATACCTGACGAGAACAATTTAGAGGAGGAAAGGTTTGTTTTGGCTCATGGATTCAGGGGTTCTATCCATGATCAGCCCACTCTGTTGCTCTGAACCCAACATCACAGCAGGAGGGTGTGGTGGAGGAAAGCAGCTCAGGACACAGGAACCAGGAAGCAGGAGAGAGCGAGCTCCACTCACCAGGACAAAACAGAAACCCTAAAGACAGCCCCCACCAACCCACCTCCTCCAGCCACACCCTGCCTCCTGCAGTACGCCCCAGTTAAGCCACCTCAGTGGATCAATGCAATGATCAGGTTATAACTCTCGTAATCTAATCCTTTCACCTCTGAATGTTCTTGCATTGTCTCACACATGAGCCTTTGGGGACCTTACATCTAAAAAAATAACACTATTCAGTGATACACAGTGCCCATCCTCCACCTACACCAACTGAGGATTTGGTAACGGCATCCTTCCTGGTCAACTGAGGGAGACATTGGGCAAATGGTTTGCCCAATGGTCCAAAGTCAAGCA